TGGGAGCCCAGTGTGCTGGCGGCCCGGCTCCGGGGAGACACAGATGCAGATGCCCTTCCCGCTTCCACCGCGACGCTGAGCCCCTGTGGGCAGGTGAACCGTGGCCTCATCTGCACACGGGATCGGCCGGCATGGCAGGCGCTCCGGGAGCACGGGATAAATGTGGTGCCAACACCCCTGTCAGCTCCCGCAGACACAGCGTGCCCCCCTGCACCTGCACCCTCGGGGAGAGGGGCTGAGCCGGAGCGGGGGTCCTGGATTTGAGGGGAGCAAGACTGGGAGAAGAGCAGGGAGCCCGTGAGAACCCAGACCATGGGGTCCTCAAGGCCACATGCTGTGTGGGGTGCGGGCATCAGGGCACGGGCGTCGGGATGAGTGGTGTGACCTTGGGTTAGGGTTGGAGCCCTCATGTGTAACCCGGCGATCACGATTCTGTGCCTTTAGATCGACCCGCTGTTAGTGGGTTGCTCTCCTCCTCTCCCTGACCCCCTTCCCACCCCCATTCCCACACCCCTGTAATCACCTCCCTCCTGCCTGGTGTAACCTGTGGGTCCTCTGTGGCCTTGCTTTCTCCCTCTGAGTTCAGGGATGTCACCCAAGTCCCCGCAGGGCTCTGCAGCCCCAAGGGGAGACCGTCAAAGTCCTGTCTTGTGCTCAGAACTCTGTTCCATGCTGGGAATTACGATAATCTTCACCAATGTGCAGAAACGTGGTGACGCTCGTGCTGACACAACGTTGTCAGGAATGACACACAAAGTAAAATGCCAGTTTATTCATCTGCAATAAAGGTTGCCCTGTCTGGGGTCCACTGCCAACCCAGGAGCCCAAGGATCCCCCCCAGCCATTCACAGGGTCTCCCCCCACAAAGGGGGCTTGCTGGGCAGACCCCGAGAGCTCAATGTGGCAGTGCCTTCTCCCACACTCAGGCTCTTCTGGAAACTTCCATTCTGCCTGGACGCAGCTCCCTGCTGGGCAGAGCGCTTATGACCTTGAGCCTGAGGACACGTGCTGGGCAGCGTGGCTTCTGTGCTGACCTTAGGCTTCAGGCTGGACACCCTCCTGGAGATGCAGGGACTCCGTCTGCGGCCGGGGGAGGCGGGGGCTCTCGGACCAGTCACAGTGAGGCTGAGTCTCTCTTCCCCATACCTTCCATGCATGTCCTTGAACACAGGACTGGATGGCCCTGAGCCCGGAGCTCTCAGCACAGTGGGGACGGGGAGATGCTGCAGGAGTCACTGGGCAAGTCTTTGGGCCTGTGGGGGGCCGGTGAGCTCACCCATGCTCCAGGAGACTCTGGTTGTGCTCCGGAATGCCCTTGGAGGCACCACCACAATCCACGGTGCCCAAGCCCAGGTCCTGGGGCCACCTCAGACCTCCCCTCCTCGCATCCCCACATCCGACCCATCAGGAAAGCCTGTCAACTCCAAAGTATTTCACGAATCCCCCACGTCCCACCCCTGTCTCCATTCTACCCAT